TGACTCAATAAGAAGTTACTATTTGATGCTGTCTTTTGCTTTTAACTGTACAGTAGGAACAGTTTGCAGTATATGGCTGAATTCAAAGAGGCTCCAGCTGTAATCTGAGCAACACCTACACTGATGAGAATTTGATCAACATAAGCTATAATAAATTGGTACAAAATGTGTACTTGTCACTTTGAATGCAGCGCGGATCTTGTTGCAACTGCAGAGCAAAGTTCTGAGGATCCAGAATCCCGTTTTACTCAGGGAGCAGACTAAAAACGCCTTATAATTTTCCCTTGTTTGGCTGCTTTTTCCAGTTCCCCTAAGTCAAAAATAGCCTGTATTATTTTCATAGTGGCTTTGAACTCACCACAGCAGTTAAAGTCCCATATGTTAGCCATTTACGAATTGTGTATTTTCTCTCCCTCCAAATGTTAAGCTCAACTTTTTTCTCCTTTTTTTGGGGAGGAGATCAGCTCAGTGCTTGATGCATGAAAACATTGTTTTAGATCTGTAATAGTCCATTAAATGAACGTCACAGTTCACCTCCAAAGCACATGGATCTGCTTTGCTCTTGAACTCAGTGTCTTAGAGGTTCATAAAACTGTATAAATGGCATGGCAGGTGCACAGCTGGGCATTTGAACTAAAGGCAGCATTTGAAAACCACAGCAGGCTGCAGTGGTGGGGGCTTGTTGTTTCAGTTACCTATGGAAAGAAGAAATACAATTGAGGAAGTCTAGTTTGAGTAATAGATTCGTGACTCTGCAGTGTTTTGGCATCTGACAGACTTTCAGAGTGCCTTAAAATACCACGAGGAAGGATCTGCAAATAGGGCTGGGTATTGTTTACAAAATTACAATATCAGTACTAAAACCAATAACCTCAAAGTAATACTGATACCGATAGAGTACTTAACTCCCATGATGTGAATGGAGTTCCAGGTAGTATAACCATACTATCGGACGTTTTGGTGGCATCTTAGCACAGTGATCTGCCGATTCCTTAGAATACACTGCACTCGTCTTCACCACACCACAGACTGTATGGGTTAAACTGGACGTTGAAAGTTGTTTTCTATGGAGAGACTTTTTACACAAACTTCTATTAACAAAATGGTTTCAAGTTTCAATTATAGTCATAAAGCATTTGCTCAATCAATAACAACACCTCTGTTTTCATTCCTTTAAGGTCATTCCGACTGATAATATAATTTCTCTAATACTGTGTTACCGTAAAACCGCAATATTTTCTGAGATGGTTATCGCACTATGAAAATCTCAAACCGTTGCAACCCTACACATGGCTAAAGTTGCCAAATGGTTATTATCAGATTTGACGATAGTGTTTTGAGACCACTTTACAGTTCAGTGTTGGATGTTGGCCGCTGCTGCTGTATTAGCTACTTTTAATCGGGCAGACACTGAAATGACCACTCCCCTGAGAAAAGCGGCTTCTAAGACGGCAGCAAGAGAAACCATGCTGATCTGGGACGGAGGCGGGACGGTCCAGGATCAGACCTTCCGCGCAAAAATGATCAAATGCAGGTATTGTTTGACTGGAAATGTTTCCATACATCTTGGTATGGGGCTACTTGAGAGGAATCGAGTACCGATACCCAGCCCTGTTTAGAACTCTAGAAAGTTATTAGGATGCCAATAATTCTATCGTCCATCTCAACGATCGGTACTCTTGCATTAATTTCATGTTGCCAGGTGATACTGCATTGAATTTCGGCAAAAAGTTTAGCTAGGTTCCACTTTTTGGCCCTCTGTATCAGGACTCCCACTGTGTCAATGAAGGGGTCTCATTTAAATGAATGAGACAGCTGCATATTTTCAAACAGTGCTCATGTCTGTCTGAATACAGTTCACAGCACAAAATAAAAAACACAAACACTCAGTCATATTCAAACATTAGCAGTCACCAAGTATCACCTCTCTGCAAACCATACGCAGAAAAATTCACATCCCTCGAGTTAGGCGCTCTAATTCTCACCCCAGAATTGGTGTGACGAATAGTTTTGTCTCTCTGATTAGCCTCCATCACCTTACACTCTTTCAAGTTGCAGAATGATGACCATGGATATGGTGGATCACTCCAATAGCACAAGGTCAGCACTGGTGATACACACCAGATTCAATCCATCAGGCTGCAGTGTAGACAGAGCAAGACAAGAAAGGCCGCTGTCTGCGTGCACTTCTCAAATCGTATTCTACTTCATTCTGCCATTATTCAATCATTTCTTGGAAGGCGGTGTGGCTCTCCGTCCTAATGTTTGTGACTAGACTCGAAATTTAATTATCACTGAACTGGAACAGGAACTGGAAATCAATAAATGTAATTAAATTCCTCAGCCTTCAAACTGTGTGATACTGTCATTACCCTTTTAATATACCCCGGGCCTATCAAATAATGTGATCAATTTCTTTGAATTTCTCCCCCTATTGCAACGGAGCAAAGCTAAGGCACAGTTGTCTAATTATCTCCCTCTTGGTTCCTTGCACTTTCCCTCCCATATGAGGTGCAGTGAATTGCGTGGGCGTCGGAATATTTCGGTAGGATCATGAATCACATAGAAAAGGGGAAAAAAATACTCAACATATCCCAGGTGTTCTTGGTACCACGCCGCCCCCTACTCAGCTAACAGTGACAGGTTGACACAGTGTTTGGGTGTGAACGGTGGCGAGAAACTGTTGATTTGAAAATGCCTAAAAAATATCATGTAGAACTAAAAAAAAGCCTGTGATTAATTAACGTGTACCAAAGTGCTTATATCAGTTGCATGTGAAGCAAAAGTCTGCAAGACACAAATCTGCAAGCTGACACACACTGTGCCCACATTAACCCATCAAATCCTGATCCATATATAAGGCCAACAGTGCTGGGCAATTTTAGCTTATCACAAATATATTCAAGTTTGTCCACCAGGGGGAACTGACAGGTTTAATTTTTTATCTTAAAATGTCAAGCTCAGTACATGCCTTGGGCATACTGCCTTAATCAATAACACAGGGGCCTTTAGTTTATCCATTTATCGTCTATAAGTTGATCTGTCATTATAACATATTTAAAACTCTCAGATATCAATATCAGCCTCAAAATTCCAGTACAGGTCAGACTTTTTGGCCTGAAAGACGTAAGATAATACAGGAAATGAATTAAGAAATCTGCAGTGGTTCCCAACTGATGGGTCGCGATCCAAAAGTGGGTCGTGGGTCCATTCTGAATGGACCACAAGTGACTCGAGAACGTGTCAAGTTTGTAAAAGACACGCCTCATGTAAGTACAGTAAATCTGGCACAGAGCTTTTATTTTGAAGAGCTGTTATCTGCTGTAGAGTGAGTGACATAAGGGACAGCTACTTGTCAGAGACAGCAAACTAGCTTTAATGTAAAGTAAAGTATGATGCTGAATACATTAAAGACAGTTTGGACCTTGAACTAATGACTAAGGAGAAATCTGGACCCCGTGGAGGGAACCACTGCTTTAGAGTATGGAGGGGAAGAAAATGGTGACATCTAAAGCCAAGGTTAGAATAATCATCCTTGTATATTCTGATTGGGGTAATGTCTGCTAAATGAAAGTGTTATCAAATCAAACTATTTTCCTCTCTCCGAGGACCCCTGGGGGTCCTCAAACTCCACTTGCAGCACGCAGTTGCAGTCTATAGAGAGAGGGGGCAGATGCAGGGAGGGAAGGAGGATGTGAGAAGCGGGAAAGGTGGGGGTTTAGGGGGAAAATGGGTTACCCCAACACCCCCCACCTCCCGCCCTCTATAACCATGGGAGCTCTGGGATTGGATTCTATTGTATACATTGAATGACTATTCAGTCGTCCTCAATGGATGACGAATTTCCTCCCAACCAACCAAATAAAAAAATAAAAAAACACTACGATCAGATCAGCCTGAGCCTGTGTCAACATCATTTTGCGCCTAAAAACGCACTGCGCTAAGTTGGAAACTCCACTGTCCCTTTTGGCACTTAAGAAAAAAGGAAAGAAACAGACGTTATGTCACATAAAGAAGGTCAAAGGCTGGCAACCTATGCGACCAGCCTGGTGTTAAACTCTAAAATCCCACATTGACACATCCGCGCAGAATACTGCTTTCGTGCCAAATCCGATGATGACCAGAGTCGGAATGGTGGACGCGTCTAATCCACCAGCACAGAGTTCAAGCGCGTGAATATGAGAAACAAAAATCTACCACTTATGAAATGTCCCGAAAGCTGTGTTGTTGTTTTTTTTAGTGGAGTGAGACAAAGCATCCCCGCTACCAGTGAGCGACGCTCCGGACACTGCATCCTCGGTGCGTCACGGCTGACCCAGCACAAGTGGGAACGCCGAGCTGGACTTTTGGATGAGGGCACACGGTGTTTACTTGGTGTTATTTGATATTTGAAACGGGGGGACGGTGGCTTACAAGCAGCTACAGAGAGTGTATATCTGCTGGCAAGAGGGGACCACAAAAGCGTCCCTGCATCACCAGTCCTGATCTCAGCCAGCATCCACTAACCTTTCCCCGCACACATGAACTCGCGGCTTTAACTTGTATAAAAACGCAGCACATGTGGGTCATTTTCCTCCAACCTAAAATGTGCCTTAACTCAAGACAGTGAGCCAGCCGGACCTGTGATGGCATACTCCTGTGTGCTGCGCGGAGAGATTCAAAAATGCACCGAGGCAAGCGGCTCCCGACCCGAAACTAGAGAGAGAGAACCCCGAAACTGGATGAAAGGCGTCCCGGTTTGTAATCCACGCTGTGTTCCTCTCACACAGATAAAACACTCTCACTTGTTAGAGAAACTTTTTGCACAACGGTGGTGGATTTGTGCAGAGCACCATCTCTAACCCAGCGCCACTGTCCGGAGTCAGTGACAAGGATGCCGCAAGCGGGACCAGAGGATGCTGCTCCGGAATCAGCACAGCTCGGCCTGCATTCCTCACACTGTGCTTTGGCCACAGCCTCCGCTTCACCTAATATGAATAATAAATAAGTCATCTTCTTACCTGCACAGCCAATGAATAGCAATCCCCAGATGAGGTCCCCTATTTGAAGCATTGTAATGTGTCACAGATATTCTCCTTGAAGAAGCAGACGCACTTTAAACAAGCGAGGTGTCTCTACTGAGAGGGGGGGGGGGGCAGATATCAGCCTTTCCAGGGACAACAACTGCTACCGGACGGAATTTTGGTCCTTGTCGCTACCCGTGTTCACGGCACAATGAGTGACAAGCAGCAGCCGTAGCACGCACTCACACACACATGTACTCAATAGATACCAACACGAATTACTCCGCCCGGTAGGCAATACCCACACACACACACACACACTCATACAGACACACACACACACCAAGGGGGCGGGCTGAGGTGAATGCAGTAACAAAGTAGTGCGCGGAGCCTGCAGACAGCAGATGGTCACCAGAGGCTCTAATTCGGATTACTGAGTTTACACACCAGCTAACTGAGGTTTAGAAACACATGGAGCAAGACAATTATTCCAAACTGGGGACTAATTAAAAGTGCGAGTCAGATTTTAAAAAATATAATATAAAAAATTAAAATAAAAATATAATTTAATATTATTTCAACAGATGACAG